TTTTTTTTTTTTTTAAAAAAAAAAAAAAAGTTGAAAAGCACTTGCAAAAAAAAATAATAAAACAGTTTGATATCAACAGCAAATCTCTTCTTATTAGGTTGCTTATTTATTCGTTATCATTAGCGTTGTTAGACCCCTTAAAAAATCGGAATATGCCGGAAGAAGAAAAAGAGAAATTAATTCAAACCATAATTAAAGCTTTAGGTTCTAATTACTTGGGCGGAATCGGGAAAATTCTAATATATCACATATTTATATTGTATTTATTTATTATAGATTACACGCAGGGTTTCTTTTGTTTTCACAAATAATTCGGTATAATGATGTCACATTTATTTACCGATTCTCAAAAAAAAAAAAAAAAAAATTTTCAATTTTCACGTTCAAAAAAAATTTTTTTTTTTCTTCCTTCCCTCCCAATTTTACCCCACATGAGAAGAGAAGTAATGATGTGATGCGTGCTTCCTTGCGGCTATGCATATTTATCATACGGTAAATTTCTTCTCAGTAGGTTGGTTTTCACATTTCATATCTAAATGTGTATTTATATCTTATTGTTTTATCGAACATATGAAAGTCAAAAAATTTATTGTGTAACAAACTTTTTTAAAACTGCACCAGTTGAAATTACAGTAACATATGACTGAAAAAAAATTATTTTTTTCAAGGGTACATCTATTTTGCGTAACATTTGTTGGTCAGTGCGCCTCTAATAAGGTAAGTAAGCGGTAAAATTTCCGCGATATAACTTTTACTCCGCAAGTTCGTAATACAAAGTTAGTTTAATCAAAGTCATATCAGATATTACCTCATTTGCTCATTTGAGAGGGAAAAAAAGCACGGATTTAGCAACACAATCAATAATAATACAGACTCTATTTAAAAGGTTTTATCTTAAAAGGATCCTAGTTTTCCTAAAAAAAAAAAAAAAAAAAAAAAAAAAAAAAAATATTTATTGATAAAATTATATCCTATCAACATCTGGTAAATCCGCGAAATATTTTTTTAAAAAAAAGATTGCTTACTAATAAATTGTTTGTATATGTTTGAAAAAGAATAAGGGCTTTGATGTTTATTCGGATAATTAATAAAAAAAAATATATTATTCACATGCATCCGAATTACTGCTGGCTGAATAAAAAAAGGAGAGTTGATTTTTTTTTATTTTCAGGTGATTTTCAACATAAAATACAGTACAATTAATTAATTTGTTTACTTATTAAAAAAACCATATAAAATTCCGTCATAATTTTGAATTTCTCATTGTTGCATAAAAGAAACAATAATTAAATTTTCCTCCCTTATTAACTTTTTAAAGTTTCACCTTCTGTCTATAAAAAAAAAATTTTTTCTTTTTTTTTTCTTTCTTTTTTTTTTAGCTACGAAAAGATTTGCAAGAGATATTAACTTACATACTAAAGGGAGTGCAAAATAATTATTGTTTGTACGACAAATTATACTAAGCAACCACGACTTCAAAAGTATATCGGTTTGACGAGACGAAAGATAAGCGAGTTGAAATATGTCGCAAGTTAATTCAAATGGTACCTCGTCCTACACGCCTGATTCTGATTCAAACCATACTGATTTTGATATTAAATCTAACTCTTCTGTCTCATCAGTTGAAGATACAAATAATTGTAATAATGATTCTAAGCCCTCGGCGTTGATAGAAACATTATATGGTATACCTGCGTTCACCGAATCCATCGAAACTGTCAAGAAATACAAATTTGGCCGTTTAACTTTCGATTTCGCTGATGCCAGTGCACGTAGAGTTTCCGTTTTTGCAAAACCTGTTTCTTACAAGTTTAGCGACCAACTTGAAAAAGCGGACAAGATTGCTGCTGCATCCGTTCAGCACTTAAGTACACAAGTTCCAATCGTTATTAATACTTTAAAGGAGCCAGCGATTCAAACAATTTCAACTGTTAAACAATATCAAGAACAACTTGGTTGTACAATTGAAGATAATATTAAAACACCTGGAAGTCGTTTTATAATGAATTGTGATTCTCAACTCGCTCCCTTCGTTGATGTAATTGAAGACTTATTTAAAAAAATTATTCCTGAGGAGAATGGTGAAACTAATAGAGAAATTCGGGATGATCAACAACAGATTGCGCAAACTCTTCGTGTTGTCCATCTAGCTATTGCGACGAGAGATCGATGCGTTGAAAGAGTGAAGAAACAACTAACTACTACACAATCTTATACTGCTGATCAACTTAGGCAATTACAAGAATCAAATCAATTATTATGCAAGGCTACCGACACTGTAAATACTTTGAATCAATCATTACTTGGAATGGTTGTAAATCTTCGTGAAACTGTTCAAAATCCTGATCTCGCAGTTACTCTTCAAGCTCATTTGCAAAATATTGCTGCTGTAATTTATAAGGATGAAGAAAATCTTCCCAAAGCTGTACAAGCGAGAATAATTGATTATTCGTCAGCTCTTTTGGCTATTACTGATAGTATTGGAAATTACATTAAATTAAATGCTCAACATTCCCCTGAATATCTTCAAGAACGTCTCAAGCCTTTGGTAACCTTCTTTGAAGAACGTTACGGTGATGTTGTTAATGAAATTAAAAATGGTAAAGGTAGCCCTATTGAAAAAGCAAGAAATATTCTTCAACTAACCACAAATCATACTTTACCTTTACTTCGCTCTTCTCTTTCCGATCTACAAGAAGCAATTCAGTGTTATACAAATTCATTGAACACATCATTTAATAACCAATTTAATAATGCTTCACAAGTTCTTAATGTCAAATGAATCATAAATTTTATGTATTAATTTGACATTTTTTCAAATCATCGCAGCGGATAATAAACGGCTTTTATTTGTTCCTTGTTTATCTATATTCCTCGTTCCATTCTCTTCATCCCTATCCCAAATTATAACTCATCTATAATTCAATAATTTCTCCTTACAGGAATTATATCCCTTTTTACTTTTAAAAAGAAAAGAAAAAAATTCTAGAAAACAATAGTAAATTTTTAGAATTTGAAAAAAATTTTTTTTAATCTTCACTTATTGATGTTTTATCTAAATTTATTTGGTACAAGTACAAATTCACAATCAAAAAAAAAGAAAAAAGAAAAAAGAAAAAAAAAATTTTTATTCCTCGATTAAAAAAGTTATATAATACGAAATTTATCAAATTCAACATATTATTCCAACAGTTTAAAATAAAAAAAAAAGCAAAAAAAAAAATTTTCTATAATTCAATTAATTCCATTCGGTTGTTTATTTCGTAGGGTTTACTTGTTCATACCATAACTAATAACATAGCTACTCGTTTGAATTCGAGTTGTTTTAATTAATATATGTATATAACTAACTTTATACGCGCTTTACACTGTATATATAATATCTATCTGTTAATGATTGATAATTGTTTGCTTTCAGAATGTTTCAAGTAAATTCTACTTCTCAATGAAGTTCAATAGTTAATTTAACTTTCACATATGTCTCTTGTTGCTCTCATATATTACCAAGAAATACAATTAAATTTACAACTCTGGTTTATTTTGATCTAACAAAATCTATAACTCATCATCCAATTAACATAATAGTCTCGGATTATCGGCTGTTCAACAATCCAACGTTCTGACACCTTGCTTGCTTATATACCTACACAATAATAATATGATAATTAACATAATTATACAGTTATACTTATAAAATATTTAAAAGAATACTTATTTACTCTATAAAGATTCAAATCTCTTAAATAACAAGAAACCGCGTTGTGTATTAAATTTATAAATTTGCTGAATGGAGTTATATAAAAAATTTACAAATATGCTTATGGTGTCTTGCGAAATTAAATTCAATTTTTAGATATTTAACCAAGTTTTTTGAAGAGAAATTCTAGAACTTCCCGCTGGAACATTCTGTTTCGACTTAAGGTTAAACTTGGCCTTTAGCGACTCGTATGTTTTCATGCATTGTGCACACTACGAACAATGCTGATTTTCTAAATTTGCTGGCCAGCGTTAAGAACGACAAATAATTTGTGACAAATAGGATTATAGATTTACTTAGAAAAATATTTTTCTAGTCTTTTTGTTAGATTAATTTTCCCCAGCATCACCATAAAAATTCACTATCACGTGACGGCGGAAAATATTTATTACAGGCATCACATCCCACCGCGTTTTCATCTTTGCGGGCAAAAAATTATTTGTCACACATATTCTGTTTATTTTCACATGTTAGTGCATAATGCCGTAATGCGGGCCAAAGATCACGTGATAGTATTTTTTTTTATAGTGAAACTGGAATAGTTTAACCTTAATTAATTAGAAATGCTGAGGAGTTGCTAAGGTAGTCCTTCCCATAATATGCTGCAGTTCAGGATGTAGGTGGTCCAGAATGGGTTTGAGGTGACCCTAGTTGGATCACCTTAAATCTCTTTAAAAGTAAGAGTCTGAAAGGGCTTGCCTTGGCAGATGACAGATTATATGTTAAACATTCTTTCTTTGTATAATTGTATTGAACTATATTTTTTTAATGATTTTGCCAACTTTATATAAAATAAAAATAAATAAAAATAAATAAATAAATAAAATTAATTAATTAGAAAATTGCATGCAAATTTGCATGCAATTTTCAACATTGTAATTAATTTGATTTTTTTTGATTCTTATGTAAAAATTATTATGAAGTATATATTAAAATATTATTTTTTATGGAAATTATTTTTTTGAGTAGTTGATTTATAGGCAAATTTTACATTTGTAAAAATTAACAAAATTTATGAAGTTTTAGAATGTTAAATATATCATATTTATCATCTATATATTCTAAAATTTTGAAATTTATGTATATTATGTATTACATTCTACTCTACAACTTTACTAAGCTTACAAAAAAGGTTTAGAAAGCTGATTTTAACTTTACATATAGATAAATAATTGCTAATACTCAATTTATCTAAAAAAAAATTGCATACAAATTTGTACACAATTTACATAATTTTCAACATTATTTAATCATTTATTTACATGAAATTACACTATTTAACCTAAAAATTTTTTTGATTATTGCATAGAAAATATGAAATTTATATTAAAAATACATACAGTATATGCCAATTTATGAAATTGGCCAAATTTAAGATTTTTATAAAAATTTAATTATGAATTATATTTCACAAACATCAATTAAACCTGCGTTACATGTTTATATAATCCAGTTTTATTAGAAAATAAAAAATTTTTTCAAATTATATTCAGAACCAATAATATTAATTACTTTTTTTCTTAATTACTTTTCAAACACTTTTTTGTTAAATAAACTAAAAAAGTTTGTAAGCATATACAATGGTTATTTCTTAACCAGTAAGTAAAAGAAAAAAAATTAATACTTTTTATTCATAGGAATAAATTATTTTTTTTTTATTTTTAACTTTAGTTCTTTTTTTTTTCCTTTATAGAAATATGTATAAATATAAGTGTTAATTTAGATATAGAATTTTTGAAGAGTTTTTTTTTTTTTAATAAGATAATTTTATACTACATATTTTTAAGATTTTTTATTAGTTTTATTTTATTGATATCTTAAATAGCAAGTAAAATCTTTTAAATAAAGTGAAAGAATTCAAGACTCTTTTATAAAATATTATTTGGTAAGAAATACAATTTTTGAAAATTTTTATGATAAATTTTATACCAGTAACTTAATCGTTAATTACTCAATATACATGCATGCTAAACAAATGATTTTATATTTATTTGAAAAGTTGGAACTTACTTTATCTTATAAATCAAAGATCATTCAAATTGGATTATTATATATAAAGATATTAACAATCAAATTCAAAAATAGGAAATAGATATATTGGGCATATTTATTTGGCAACTACAGTCAACTCTTTCTTTATAGTTATATATTTGGGACAGTTCATATTTGGTAATTATAAAAAATGTAACTATATAAAAATTTATATATATATATATCATAATTAAGGTTGCTTGCCGAAACCTAGGGGTTTAGGCAAAATGGCGTTTCGCCGAAAAGCAAAATTCTGCCAAAACTATATTAAAGTTATATTAAAAAACTAGCGAAACTTTGGAGAAAGGTGAAACTACCGAAACTTATTATAAATGCTGAAACTGCCGAAACTCTGCTGAAACTATAATAAATCTATAGTAAAATTTTGATGAAACTAATTGTAGGATTTTGAAGAGGTTTAGACAAGCAACCTTAATCATAATTCCAGCCAAAAATTAACATAATTTTAACCAGAATTATACTTAAAACTTTATAGTATCATAATTTCATCAATATTAATTGTAGAGAGGTGATCTTACTGCCATTTGATTCGTCTTAATAAAACGATTCTAATGATATAAAATACATCAAAATCAAATCACTAGATCAATTTATAAAATTAAAAAATATTAATAGTTTTTGCATAATACACACGTCGAATGACCAAAAACAGGTAAAAAAAATGGCTAAAATTACATAAACTATTCACAAATTTATATAAACTATTCACAAATTTATATAAACTATTTACAAATAGTATAGGTTAATTTGCAAATAGCCAAAAACAGCCAAGAATAGCCAAGAATAGCCACTGCTTTTCGCGCCATTTTTTTTGCCAATTTTTAGCATTTCGATCTGTGATAATTTTGCCAATATTGATTCTAGAGAAACGATTTTACTACCATTCAATTTGTCTTGATAAAATGAATTTAATGGTATAAAATGCATCAAAATCTAATCACTAGATCAATTTCTAAAATTAAAAAATATTAAATAGTTTTTGAGTGATAACTCTATCAATATTGATCATAGAAAGATAAGCTTACCACCATTTAATTCATCTTGATAAGGCAATTCTAACAAGCTATTAATCATCTTTTTATAATCACTAGGTGCCAAAAAATTTAGCAAAATGTTAAATGGCGCAGTAAACGTAAATTAAAAAATTATATAATGCTGATTTTTGACATTTTGTTGAATAACTTATCAGCCAATGATCATAAAAAAATGAAATTAGAACTGATCATCCTAGTGCAATCGTTAAAGTAATACTCCCTCATATAGCCTAATTATAGTAAAGTTACAGGTTCAATTTTACTAATCATGAAAATTAGCATCATGGTGAATTAGTGTATACAGTTAGGCTGCACATTTCAACTAAAGGTCATAGTATTCTTCTAACTGTCGGTTTGGTCCGGATTATAGACGGTTCGGATTAGAGCCGAAATCTGTAAGAACTGAACCAAAAAACTGGCAGTTCAGTTCGGTTTAATCCAATTTTTATAAAAATGCGAAAAATTGAATATCTGTCTATCTAGTGATCGTACAAAGTCGAGCCATATATCATTAGATTCGTCTCGACAAGACGCGTCGAATGGTGGTAAGATCATGTCTCTAGCATCGATAGATCATACGTTACCCTACACTAAATGATTTATTAATAATTGGAATTATTAAGCTATCTATCGATACTAGAGACATGATCTTAGTGTCATTCGACGCGTCTC